AAATTTTTATTTTTAATTTTCATTTAGTATCTGTAAAGTTTGGAATAAACAATTCTACTCTGTTGCGATATAATTGCTAGGAGAAGTGTGAATTTATGATTACCAGGCCACAGGAACTGGGACCCCATTACTAAATAATTGCATGCATAATAAAGGTTCAAACTCAAACTTTAATTAATTGGAAAACACCATCCTTCATAATGTTTATGTTTTAGAAGTTATTCAAGGGGATTTAAAAGAAATCTAGACAATTAAAAACATACATGCTAGTACAGCACAATAATCATGTGGAAAAACTCAGGCAGCACATCATTATTTAAGACCTCTTTGAGCTATATATAGGACATAGCCTTTCTGGGCTTGAATTCATGTCTGGCAACCCACTGACTGATTGATCCAGGGAAGCCACCCTCCCTCTCCTCAATTATGTGTTACCAACTCTAAATTCAGGTTCTATTAATTCCTACATCATTCTTCTTTATTAAATGAACTGAGGCAAAAGTCTTGTAAACCATAAAACATGCAAATATTTGGAAAGGTTTTTTGTTTTGTTTTGCTTTCTCCCTGTTTGCTTTAGAAAGCAATCATCTAATATAGCAAAAGGAAGCCAGGATAATTAACTAGAGGATTGTCTTGATTTCTAGTGCAGAGGTAGTGGGATTAGAGATTAAGATTAAAATGGCAACAAGGGGCCCCTGGGTAGTTCAGTGGGTTAAAGCTTCTGCCTTCAGCTCGGGTCATGATCTCAGGGTCCTGAGATGGAGCCCCATGTTGGGCTCTCTGCTCAGCGGGGAGCCTGCTCCCCCTCTCTTTCTGCCAGCCTCTCTGCCTACTTGTGATCTCTGTCTGTCAGATAAATAAATAAAATCTTTAAAAAAAAATGGCAACAAGACTGGATAGCTAGGATTTTTTTTTAAAGATTTTATTTATTTATTTGACAGACAGAAATCACAGGTAGGCAGAGAGGCAGGCAGATAGAGAGGAGGAAGCAGGCTCCCCACAGAGCAGAGAGCCCGATGTGGGGCTCGATCCCAGCACCCTGGGATCATGACCTGAGCCGAAGGCAGAGGCTTTAACCCACTGAGCCACCCAGGCACCCCAGGATTTGTTTTTTAATTGAGGAAAACATTTGTGATTTTGTGGGCACATAGAGAAAATAAATAGTGTAAAAACGAGATTATTGCCATCAGCGGCAGGAATAGAACTGCTAAAATATCAGGATAAATGGAAGTCCTAGAAAAGGAAGTGAGATGTTCTCTTCTGGATTGGGTGAGATTAAAGAGATGACAAGATGATTAGACCAAAGAAAATATGTCAGCCATTTTGCAGCTTGGAAGGACACTGAGGATGAGCCAATAAGGATGGCAAAGGGGAATGCCCCCAAACCTTGAGTCCTTGGGTCATCTTGCCACTAAGTAACCAACTTTGGGGCTGACTTTGTTTTAACTGTGCATTTTGACACTTACAGCCAAAACCACCCTACCCAATGTAACAGTGTAGTTGAATTGAACAAAAAATAAAATAATCTTGGTAAGATAACTAAAAGGGTTATAGATATTTTGAGTCAGTTTACGATTCTTCGTGTTTGAGAAGGGATATGTCTTCAAATATAGTAATTGCTTTTTCCTTCAATTACATATTTCCCCCCTTTGGACACCCAAGAAGGTAAACTGAAGATAACAGCACCCGTGGAAAGACAGAAGATAATCTGCATGTGATTTAAAAGATTACTGATGTGTTTTTAAAAGGCAATGCAGAAGTTGCATGTCTATAAAGCACTGTTTAGTTCGAAAAGCATTTGTTTTATCTCTAAATCAGGCATTATGCTAAATCGTGAGCTCCTGCAGTTTTAGATATGAGTTCTTAGAAAAGATATTTCATTTTTATGAGGATGATTCACTTTCTTAAAATCCTATCCTGAATCTGAATATATGAAGATGGATTAAACCACAATCATTTATACTGATGATGGCCTCACATCTCAGCTCCTCTGTTCAAGAGAGAAACCTTAAAAGGACAATGTTCCCAGGGTTCTTAAATTTTCATTGATAAAAATTTGAGCTATATTTCTCCCCGGGATACCTATAATACATTAAAGTTATATTTGAGCTATCATTTCTGAGTAATTAATGCTATGTTCCTTTCTGAGAAATGTGTTCATATGTCAGTTTTTTAAGATGACGGCTAAGTTACTGATTTTAAGAGTAATAGGAAATATTTATCATGCTTGTGATGTACCAGATATTCTCAGTCCTCACAACAAGAATGATTATTATCACCCCTTTCTGGCTGAAAGAATGAAGGAAGCATGGTAGGGGAACTTGCCCAATGATTAAGAATTGGAATCAGAATATATATCCAGGCACTCTGATTCCAGACTCCACATGCACCTCACTTATACCCTATAATACTCCAGATGAAAAAAAAGTGAGGGTATTATCATTTATTCTATGATCTTAAATATTTAAACATTTATTTTTTTAAGTAGCTTAAAAAATACTACTGGAAGAAGAACAAACTCCCACTTATAAAATAAGTCATAGGCATGAGAAGTACTTATTTCATAAGAAATATAGTAAATAATACTATAATAATGTTGTATGGGAACAGATGGTGATGACACATCTCATGGTGAGCACTGAGTGATGAACAGAATTGTTGAATCGCTATGTTGTCCATCTGAAACTAATACAACATTGTATGTCAACTACACTTCAATAATAAAAAAAAATGCTACTGGATGATCAAGCATCAGACTCTTGATTTCAGATCAGATCATGATCTCAGGGTCATGAGATCGAGCCCCACATGGGATCCACACCAAGCATGAAGGCTGCTTAAGATTCTCTCTCCCTCTGCCCCTCCCACCAGCTTGTGCATGTGTGCGCGCTCTCTCTCTCTCTCTCAAAAAAAAAAAAAATACTACTGGAAACCTTAATAAGTATTCTATAAAGAAAGATTTCTTCATGAGAATTAGAGGAAGCTTAAAAAAATTAGAGGAACTTTCTCTGACTGAGGGGCTTCCAACAGCTAAATAGGTCAATGAGGCTTAGAATGATCTCCATGACCGTATGTATATTCATTCTCTCTATTGAATGACGTAACAAAATAGTATTGCCACCTTCCCTAAAGCCATCAAACCATCAAAGAGGAAGAGTCAATATCAGCTTCTTGGTTTCCTAAGAAGTAGCTAAATTTTGGCACAGGTTTCTCTAATCCAAGCTCTCCTGGGCTTTGCCATCTATGAGTGTCTTCCTTCCAGCAGCTACACTGAAGTTTTGTTGTTTTGTTTTTGTTTTGCTTTGCTTTTGTTTTATTTTTCTTCTTGGGTGCTAGACATCCATTGATGATCTGAAGGGTAATTCTCAGCCCTGACCTTCCTACCAGTACATATGATACTCTCCACCCATGAGAATGTAATGGAATCAGAATCCATAACATGTGGTGTCTTTGGTAGATTATTTCCCTTCAATGTGACTCACCACCTCATTTTCAGATCAGGACAGTTACCTGCTCGGAAACATTTGCTGTGAGGGTTGCATGGCTGATCTACATGGAGTGGGTGGGCAGTGCCTGGCAGGTAGCACATGCTCAGCCACCCTGACTACGGTTGTTATTATTGAGAAAATGGCTCCAGAAGATCCTCACGCATTCTCTAGTTCTGGATTCAGGCATCACTGGTTTTATCTTGTGCTTTATCTTTTTTGTGTGTGTGCTTTATCTTTTAACAATAATTTTTAATAGGCATTAGAGCACTTTTACATAGAAAAACCTCTTAAAAATAGTTTTCAGTATTTCAGCAGCAAGTGGGTTGATGTTTGGTGATTTACTCTGGTACCTCAATTGTTTCCTATCCAAATTTTTTAATTCAATAATTCAAAGGTCTATTCTGTTTAACTTTTCTTTTAGAGAAAAACCTGCCCATATATTTGATACCCACTATGAATTCAAAATTTATTTCCTAGTAAGTGACATTCATTTTGCTTTCCCTATATGCCACCCTCATTTTACTCAGTGTAGGCTGTCAACTTTTTTCTGAGGGAAGGAGGTATAGATATACTTGTGAGTATGAGGAAAGATTAGGCTTCCAATTTTGCCTTTTTCATTCTTAGGTGCAGAAAGTAAAATCAGTAAAGAAGTAATACAACTTCTAGTCAGATTCCAAACTGGCATAGCCACTGTGCAGCATGGAGTTTCCTCAAAAAGTTGAAAATAGGACTACCATATGATTCAGCAATTCCACTTCTGGGTATTTCCCAAAGAAAATGAAAACACTAACTGGAAAAGATGTAAGTGCCCGCATGTTCATTGCAACATTATTTACAATAGCCAAGGTATGGAAACAACCTAAGCGTCCAGGGATGGATGAATGGATAAGAACAATGTGGTATATAAATACAGTGGGATATTACTCAGCTATAGAAAAGAAGGAAATCTTGCTATTTGCAACAACATGGACGGACCTTGAGGGCATTCTGAAAAGCAAAATAAGTTAGACAGAGAAACACATGTATGTTCTCACTCATATGCGGAACCTAAAAAGAAAAACAAAACAGAAAAAAAAAAACAAAACACTGAATTCATAGATACAGAGAACAGATTGGTGGTTTGTGGTTGCCAGAAGCAGGGCATTAGAAGGATGGGTAAAACAGGTAAAGGCTATCAAAACATACAAACTTAGAGTTAAAAAAGAAAGAAACCGGGGCACCTGGGTGGCTCAGTGGGTTAAAGCCTCTGCCTTTGGCTCAGGTCAGGGTCTCAGGGTCCTGGAATCGAGCCCCGCATTGGGCTCTCTGCTCAGCAGGGAGCCTGTTTCCCCCCCTCTCTCTGTCTGCCTCTCTGCCCACTTGTGAACTCTCTCCCTCTCTCTGTCAAATAAATAAATAAATAAAACCTTAAAAAAAAAAAAAGAAATAAACCTTGAGCATGCCATGGACACCATCATGACTCTAGTTAATAATACTGTATCGTATATTTGAAAGTTGCTACGAGAATAGACTTAAAGTTCTCGTCACAAGAAAAGGGAAACATACCCCATAAATACAGATGTACGATTCACTAAAAACTGCTTCCCAAAACTTTAGTCAACAGAAATTATAACGGCCTTCAGAGTAGAATCTAGGAGACACACTGTTAAATCACTTTGGTTTCCTTATTCACTATCATGATGCTACTAAAAATAAAAACAAAATTGAAATGACCAGTGACATTTGCCAGACATTATGCTCTTTCTTGTCATTCCCATCAAATAATATCAAGAAACGGTATAAATTTATCAGTTTTAATAGTCATATCCATGAAGCTGACTTTTGGAAAGAGAGAAAATGTGAAATATCAAACACAGCTTGCTTGCACGATGTGAAGCTCCAGGTCTTGAACTCCATTGCTAGCAAATCTGCTCATCAACTGCCTTTTCTCTTCAGTCAGCGCCATAGCCTACATGTGTTATCCTTGCTACCTAATAAAACAAATTTCACCAAGTTATTATTTCTTTATTTCATTCATTAATTCTCCCTTTTTACAAGGTGACCTTCTCTGGGACATCGAGGATGATCAGTGCACTCAATGTACCCAGCTGTGGAGTCTTAGAGCTGCTCCAGCATTTAGGGGGCAAAAATAAATAAATAAATAAAATGTTTTTAATGATTCCTGTCAGTCATCAATTGGCAAGTTCATGTCCTATTCACACGTGTGAGATTCATGGCATCTCAGAATTGGAGCCCTGAGAATGCAGCCTTCCCCTCTGCTCATTCCTTGCGCCCTCCCCACAAACAACACAGTCAAGTGGAAAGATGGTGAATTTGAAAATTTCTAGATCTGGGTGATTAATTTATGAGGAGGCAACACATTCCACTTCAGAACATTTCAAAATGTCAATGGCTTTTTCGCATTGTTGGTAAAATGTGAAATGTGCATTCTCCCTCCCCACTGCTATGATAGACACTCTTCCAAAGCAGCTCTGATTGACTGGTCCCCAAGGGCACTGTTCACATTCATTATACTTTGGAAATGACCACCCTGGTATGGAGCAGCACCGGGCACTGCTGGTTCCCTGATCTTCGGGAACACATGACATCAGTATAAGAAATGTGCTGTTTACATGAACTGAGAGAGGCTATGGAAACTGTCCATTCCACCAAAAGGCACCTCACATTCTAAAAAAAATTAATGACTACACTGGCCAAGTTCCTTCCAATTTTTTATTTCAAGTCCAACCTCGGGCAGTCCATGAAAACTCATGCAGTTAATCATACATGGGTCCATCAAGAAAAGGGGGTAGATCCATTCAAACAAAGTGATTGCTCTGCTGATGACAAGACAGAAGTGTTACCCCTTTGTAGTAAGCTCCCCCATTTAGTAGGCCAGTATCGAGCACTTCAGTGCTTTGGGAGACACTAAATAAATCAATAATGTCTTAACGAGCTCAGGAATGTAAATGCCAGCCCCCAAACAAGAGATAGACAATATTTCTTCCCTAAAGTCTCTTAGGACCTCCTGTGACTCCAGGAAGAAGTCTGGTCTAACATGAGCCCTGTAGACTAGAAAAGGTTGGTCTAATACAGCTGGTCTAACATGAGCCCTGTAGACTAGAAAAGGTTGGTCCTCTGACAAAGCAGTGCCAGCTTCCTTTTTCTTACTTGCCAAGAGCTTCCTACATCAGCTTCTGGTGCCCCCATCACTGCCTCCCATCTCTTTCCTCATCCTAGGAAAGGATTTGACATTGAGCTCACAATAAAATATGTGGATTCTTATGGCATTGTCTTAAGAGTACCTGCATTTTAGTGACATTGGCAAATCATAAACTCCAGAAAGTAATCCATAATTTTAGAAATTATCCACAATTAAATAGTAAGAAGAGATTTTTTAGGGCAAAAAGGGAGATTATTCTAAGCACCCCTCAAGTTATATGACTAGGAAGCTATTTAATCAGCCAATATAAAAAGCCAACCTTGTGCATGGGACATTTAATTTATTAGACCAGTTAAGCAATTTTGAAATTGCTCAACATAGTAAGAATCACTGGGAGTTAGGCAGATTCTGTCCTCTGTGCCCCCTTAGGGTGCCCCTACCCCACACGGCTTTACCACCCCACTCCACACCAGGGCCTCCTTCCAGAGGCACCACACTAACATTACACCATACTCTTGTCACTTTCCACAATCAAAGTTAGCCTATTCTCAATTCAGTTCTTAAAAAACATTTCTAATATAATTAATTCACAATAAATTGTTAACGGTTGAAAAATGCTCAATATGGGTTCTCTTCCCCCAAATATTAATTTGTTAGTGGGGGGTATCCAAGGAGAAAACAACTTAGCTCAAAAAATAAATCTCTCATGGGCTGGAAGTCCAACTGTGCAGAACGTGGGTCCTAGTCTGTTTTAGTTACTAACACTTACTGACAACTGAATATTAACCATTCGGTGGGTACTTCCTGGGGAGATGCGGTAACCAGTAAGGCAGGCTACTGAGCTCTTTGTTAAGAGCAACTAAAATTCAAAATTCACAAAGCCTTACAGTCAGAGCTCACCCCTGTGGTCCCACATGCTACTAAAATTAAATCGCGGGTATGGGAAACGTGAGCACACACAAGGGACCCTGCAAGACAGGGAGGGGAGAGCAATAAAACTCTTTTGGTATTCAGCTTGGAAACGCTAATAGCCAACTGAAAAAGAAAACCAAGTGTATGTGTTTCTCTCTCCCATACCTGTAATGATTATGTTGCCTTTGTAGTTGAAAGCACATGAAAAGATCTCATCTGTGTGCCCCTCAAGGATCTGGAGGCACTGACCAGTCTGAGCGTCCCAGATTCTCGCTGTTTTGTCAGCACTGCCAGTCAGAATATGATTTCCTTGGGGGTTGAAAGAAATCTACAAGACAGAAAGGAAAATGACAGTTTTGTGTAATTTGATTCCTGATATATTTTTAATCAGCAGAAAGGGGACATGACTAAGCACCTGTCATCTTCCCAGCTTGGCATTTATTCTTACATAGAACAGTTCCTTCCTGAAGGGGGAAAAACTACAGGGACTAATACATGAAAATTAAAGGCTATACAGCAGAGTATAACAGGGCACCCCACACCCACCCCACAGTTCTAAGGAAAAAAAACAAAGTTCCCTTCTATTTCGAGTATTCCCCACCTAGCTTCTTTCCAAAAACTCAAGATGCAAGTCTTTCCACACAAAGAGACAGAGCCCTGGTGTGGATGAGAACACAAGTCAGGTTCCTTCAAACCCAAGCCCCCATGTCATCCCTATAACTCAACTTTCTCTAATCAAAAGCATATAGATCCTCTTTCAATCTGTGCCTCAGAATGAGTGAATGTTGGGGGGACTTTCATTCTACTTCCATTCAAAGTAAAGTAGGTTCTATAAATATTTCCTGAGTGCCTCCTATGTGTCAAGCATTGTCATATAGTATCTGAGCGAATGTCAAAGGAAATGGTTAGTTCACTATTCCTTTGGGTTCCATGCTTATAACACTCTCTAAATCATCATAAGACAATGACTTGGGTCACATCCTTTATGATTCAAGGTTTGATGAGGACAAAGCTCAAGAGCATGGCTTTTTTTGTCCCTGTGTCCCCGGTACAATGCCCAGCACAGGGAAAGCTCTCAAAAAGCATTTCTTGAGTGAATGAATGAATGAATGAATGAATACCTTAACTTTCTAATCCATAGAAATGCCATTGCTGAATGGCAATTCAATAAGTAATGTATCACATATCTTAAAATGCAATATAGATTGAGAGAACCCTTTATATTCACACATGCACAAAAATATGTGTGTTTGTTGAGTGGGCCACATCATGCATGTCAATCATTATCAGACCAGTCACTCAGCAACAAGGCCTGGGTTCTCTTCCCAGGCTGCCCCCACATCCATACTTCCCCATCTCTCTTCCTGCCAGGCCCTAAGGCCTAGTAGCCTATGAAGGAGATGTGTTTAGTGCAGCCTCAGAGACCAACTTTGAAGGGCAGAGGCTCCTGGCCACAGTGGCAGGTGCAGAGGAGGGAGGAGTAGAGAAAGCACAACAGGGGGTGGTTCCAGGGTCCAGGGGCAGCCTTCCAGGACCTGAAGCCATCAACCTGATCCTTTAAAAGGAAGGAGCAAATCTGATCTTAGGTATGAGACCAAGGAACTGGGCTGAGCTGTGTGGGAGCTGAGAGTCACCAACTTCTGACCTTTCCAGAGTTTTCGAAGGACACAGCTAAACCTCAGATTACTGACTGGAAGGCCCTGCTCTGTGAATCAGCTTGTGGGAGGAGGTTAGACAAAATCTTAAGCTACAGCTTTGAAGTTTCAAAGTAGGTCATTTTAAACTCTGTTAAGTGTTAAATATTTCCAGGAAATACTTTCTCAATTGCATCTAATTTACAAAACACTTGATACTCGCTGCACAGCATGTTTTTTGCATAATACATACTTGTGTGTCTGCTTGGACCAGGAAAAGCACTTTATGAGTTTCTTAAATAGCTTTAATAAGTATTTTCAACAAACTCAATCTTTTGCTGATGGCTGAGAAAAACGCTGTTTTATAGTTTTTAAACGGTTTTAGGAATGATTTATTATGCTAAGTTTGAGGTCCCACTTAAAAATATAGTTTTTAGGTAGCTGATTTCTAGAAAGAATGAGATAATTGGACAAATCCTAGTGCCAACAGATCTATTTACACTAAGCATGCTATGTTTTTAAAACTAAATTGCTCCAAGTGAGAAAGCAACTCACCTTTGAAATTTCTCCTTCATGGCCTTCCAATTTGGTCATGCATTTTCTTGTGGCTGCACTGAAAACTCTTGCTGTTCCTTTTCGAAAGAATGGAAATACATAAATTCGTCTGAAATACAGACCTTTTGAGCCGTGTGCCCTGAATTATGTAATATCCATCCCTCTGACGTCCGGGTTCTGTGCTGCTTGTCTCCTTGCCTGCGGTGACAGCCACCACCTAAAATGTAAGCTGGTGCCAGGGTAGGAGAAGAATGGGAACAGGGCGCCCCTCAAGCCCCAAGCTTATTAGAAGAAATGATGGGTTCCAAGGTAGATAAGGTGGGGGGAAGGAATCCACAAAGAAAAAGCTTTTAATGGGAAAGGGAGGATTAGAACGAGTTTTGAGAGGCTGGTAATGAAACACGCAGCCAGACCAGCATCATCCACCAAATAGGAGTCAAAGGTGACAAAAGGTTCGAGAGGTCTTCCTGAAATGGAGCAACAGCCACTACTTGCTGGACAAAGAAGAGGCATCAGGGAAGCCAGGAAAGAGTTGGTAGAATGGTTTATTCCCTGTTGTATCCCCAGGGGCCAGAAGTGCCAAGCTCCCAATAGACGATAAGTGGATAATGGATGGATGGGTGGGTGGATAGATGAGTGGGTAGGTGGATGGATGGGTGGATGGATGGGTGGGTGGATGGATGGATGGATAGGTGGGTGGATGGATGGGTGGGAAGGTGGATGGATGGATGGATGGATGGATGGATGGATGGATGGATGGATGGAT